CTCATTTCCTTCTCACGGCATGGATGAGGGAGAGCCCCACAAAGGCTCTTCATGAGCACAGCTCAGGACTCCAACAGGAACAGCCACACATGATCCACAGCAGCACAGAGTAGGGGGCAGCAAGCAGAACTGCATAACTCACTTCAATTGTCCTAAATTCTGTGCCTTAATCACATATCCTCTAGCAGCATGTATGAAACACCAATTCTATGACAAAATATTTCCTTCTTATAGTTTTGAATTTGCTGCTTTAATTTCACATCCTCTTGTTCCTCTGTTATGAGACAGATAATGGAATTTCTTATCTATTTTATATTCATTATTTCTGCACAGTTTCTATGCAGTCTCATATTTCTTTCAAAAGCAAGTGTGTTAATATCCGGTATCAGGTGAACAAGCTAGAATTGCTAAATTCTCATGATATAAAATGGTAGACCATTTCTCAACAGATAAAAAGTCAAGAAAGTAAAGTAGACTCAAATGTTGAATTGTAACTTCTACATTAATCTAATCTGCTGAGTTGTTTCCCCCATTTCATGCAAAACCATCAGTTGCCAATCACTTGGAAATCAGAGTGAACCAGCTCATAACAATTATGTCAATTATAGGACAAAGTGTGATTCTAAATATGGGAAGAGTTAATGGCTTGGTGTTACGAAGCTACCTCAGGAAGATGAGAATGGATTCAAACAGATCATGCTCAGGTAGATGAGGCTCATAGAATTTGGACGTTACTTGTTTTTCAAACACAACAGGCAGCAGCAATGTGATCAGCCAGCCTGCTCAGCAGCAATGGATATTATCAAAACCTGTGTCTTTAGATCCCCTACAAATACATGGTTGAACAGGGCTTTTGTTTAAGACACATTTTATGTCAAAAGCAAAAAAATTTCAAGATTTGATTGCAATAGCCACAAGGAATTTAAAGCATATACACTAGAACCTTTGGAAACCTTACACACAGTTTTGTGCAGAGGACAGTGATGCCAGAAACATCAGTTCTTATCAGAAATCTATTTAACTTTTGTCATTTCAAAAGAACACAAGTCTGTTTATAACTCAATTTACTCCTGTAAATCAAGTACTCCCTTGTATACTGGAAGCTGGCATTGCCTACCAACTCTTTTCCTTAACAGTAACAAACTGTATTTTTTAGCATGATTTTTTTAGAAGGGACATTGACCTTTCCCGTTTTTTTTAACACAATTTCTCAGGAATGAAATGTCCATGGTTGAAATCTCTTTCCAGACTGCATTCTATGATTTGGAGGCTCTAAAGTAAGGATTCACTTTAGCCCAGGTAGCAGAAAGCTATCTCATTTCTAAGATTCTTCACTAGAAAGAAGAAAGCATCATAGATCAAGTAATGAACTAAAAGTAAGACTGATTTCAAAGTGATTTAGAGAGAATTCCCTTAACCTTGAATAGAGAAGTCCATCCAAGTAACACCTAAACCCTAGTATTTTCCTAGAATGGAAATTTTAATCACCTGCTGGACTTTCTTAAAAATGCTGTGTTAGATGGTTTCGTAAAGAGATGTCATGTCCCAGTGAACAACATGGTCCAAAGATGAGTGAATTATGAGACAAATTCGCAGACAAATGGAGAAGCTCATTCCATATGCATTGAATAGGAATGATAAAATGCCTCTTTATATCTGTGGCAACTGATTTCAGCAAGAAGACTCTTATCGGGAATTCTCATTGGTCAGAAAGCACGAGGACTTACAAAGCAGGCTAGCAGATTTCCCATTAAATGAATACTCTAAAGACAGACTAAGTTAAGTCATTGCCTAAAAATGCCAAAGAACAGCAATTAAATGTTCCAGCATCCGAATCACTTTCTTGTCAACAAACATCACAGAAGAATAGTGCAGTAGTGTCTCACAGGAGCTTGTTTCCTACGTCAAGGAAGGTAAGGATTGATGATAGCATTTAAAACAGATGGAAGAAAGCAAGATGAACTCATAATGAATACTTCAGGAATTAAAACAAGCTTACTAATGATGCCTCTGAGATTTTTTTTTATTTTTAACTTTTATAGATTTTAGATGTGTAGTGAATGTAGATTTTAATGTAGCTGTATTATATCCTTACCCTGTAGCATAATGTTTACACATACCCAACTCTACTACCCCATTTCATATCAATCCCTCTAAAATTCCATTAGCGTGCTTAGTCTTCTTTTCAAGGTAGAATTGTAGAAAAACACCTTAAGGCCTGGACCAGAAGATATAACACAGACACAGCAATCTTCAAGCCCAGAACTTTGGAGGAACTCCAAGGACTGTGCGTGCTGTGAAGAAGACGAAGATCAAGAAGAAGGGGTCCCAAACGCCCCCAGACCCAACTCCCAGAGGGGTGTGTTGGGAGGCAGAATGGGACAGAACCAGGGGTGGAAAGAAATGGGATTGAATGGACCTTATGATAAAATCATAGAACCGTGGTCTGAATGTGCTCGCATGGTATGTATTCCCCTAGGACCTGCTCTCTTTATCTTACCTTATACACTAAATTGGCCTGGAGTCTTTTTCTCTGCGGTCTTTTAGGCAACACTAATAATAAACTTCCCTGAGCAATTAAGAATGTGGAGGTCTAATGAAGCTACATGGCTTTGCATCTTCCCCTTCTCTTTGGACAGGGGTAATAATAGATGTTCTTATGACTGAACACTGCCTATACAGTCTGACACAGTCCATTTGATGCTGAGCAATTTACTGAACTTCAAGATTAGATATGGCCCAAATCCATGTATTTACTATTTTTAGAATGTTTACCATAAGATACAGAAACTTGGTCTGTAGAAATACTAAATACACACAGATCCAAGTCACTGTGACAAGCATTTTATTAACATAATGCTAATAAGACATTTTAGCCATGTGATGCTAAGAACTCTGAAACAGGGATAGTTCAGTAGCTCAGACTGGATATTTAAAACTAACAGAAGACTTTGACCTTAATCTCTCTGTGCCTCAGCTTCCCATATGCAAAATACAGATAATACCACTCTCTCATCTCACAGGAGATTTGTGAGGATGAATTCAGTCATGATTTTGAAGCATGCTGACAGTATACTGATAAACGCCTTAAAACCAGTACGAGATAGCAAATAGCTCAGTCTTTGGAGCACATAATCATAAAAAATAACAAAGTTATGGGGAGGACAACCAAAACATTGACTAGCTGTTGATTTAACAAACACTAAAGATCCTATGCACTCAACAAAATGAGAAGTTATGTGGGAAAACAGTATACAATACTGTATTACAGGGAATAAACACAGTAAAATTTAGGATGGATGTGAAATCCTAACTCAGTAAAAGCTCTTTATGTTAGTCACAGATTTTTTAACAGCTTTCATCTCCTCTGACTATCAATATAAATTTGTAAGCAAATACATGTACACCTACATTTTCAAGAATATGTTAAAATGCTGCTCTACAGAGGTGGGCAGATACTCCATTATTCTTAGTTCATCCAGTTTGTTTCTGGAACAAACTGCTTCCAGTGTATCCTTAATTCACCTTTTCAGAAAGTACTGCTTTCCCAAGGCTGCCTCAGGGTCCTGCTGACGGATTGCTCTAATTGCAGTTGGTGAAGTAAAGAAGGCAGTTACTTCATGCTCTGCTAGCACACGGAAATAGGCACCAGCATCTGGCGTTCCCACAGGCTTCCCCTATGGAGAGAATAATTTAAAATGTCACAGAATAAAAATACATCATAATTCCTTGACAGTTCAAGGCTTGAACACATAACAGTAGTGGCAGCACAGCAACAGAAGTAATTTCAAGTAACACTTTAAAGACGGCTTTGTTAAAAATAATAATACTGTCAATATATTCACTTGTAGAATTTAATTCACAAGGTTTGGGTACCATCTCTTACGTGAACACAACACAGCACATACTAGTTGCTTAGAAAATTAGGACAAGTGGACATGCAAATTAAAAGACAGACACAAAGAGCAGTTATTGCACTGCCAGCAGAGGGAGTAGTCTACATACATCCTGATTGAGAAGCAGTCTGGAAAACACCCACCCTTTGAATGAGGAGTCTCTGGACACATTGGTACTGCAGCTATATTCCCATGCACAGGCAGCTTTTTCTTAACTAGAAATTTCTCTCAAATCTGGAAAAATTCCCACCTGGCTGCTTACAGGCTTCTTGGAACCTTTGTGCTGCTAGCCCATGCAAAGCCTGGAGATACTGAAGCCTTTTCTGTTTTAATGTGCTACTAGACTGTGGTCTGGTTTGGGGTTATTTGGTTGTTTGGTTTTTTTTAAATTAAATATTGTCTTGGGCTAAATGGCATAGTCAACAGAACTGTAAAATGAAGTAATGACTTATGAAAATTGTTCCATAAGTAATCCTAAAAAAAAAAATAATCAAGAACACTTTCCTGTGGTGCTGAAAATATGAAAAGCAGTCAGCACAGGATTATATCATCACAATCTTACTGTATGTAGTCAGTGCAGTGCATGAACTGCTCCATATATCCTCTGAAATTATTAAAAGATGATGTTAATGTATAATGAGTTTTAGCTCTACAGGTTTCACCATAACCTTTGCACTAGAAAGGCCACACTTAAAAGTGTGACTTTGACAGAACATGCAAGTCAAGAGAGACATACACTTTTCATAGTGCAAACACAGCTTTGTCAATGCTTTATGTAAGAAGCCACAAACACAGAGAAAGTTTCACTACTGAAATGTCATTACCCTTTCAGCAGTTCACCAGCAATAACAAGACAAATTCATGCCTTCACCATCCTTGTGTAAACGCAAATTTGGAATAGTTAGATTAATCGGTCCAGTGGGAAAAAACATTATGTGAAACTCTAAATAATATTTTTGATTTTACCAAGATACAGAAGGAAGAGAGGTATTTGAATATCTTGATAAACATTTACAAAATTCAGTAATAATGAGGTAGCACAGTAAATGTCTTTATGAAAACACACACTAATCAAGTTAGTTGCCCCATCCCAATGTAATAAGCAGCATGCTGACTGTGATACAGGCTCACAGGAATTCATCCCTTTCCCTCACTCCCATCTGACCTCTCCTCTGCTGTCTTCCCCAGGCTTGGTCTGCATGCCAGTGCCTGGCAAGAGCCTCAACGAACCATTAATCAGATTCAAAGAACACAGGATGGCCTAGGTTGGATACCTAGGTTTTGCAGCTTTATGGTGAGATACTGCTGCTGGTGAGAGGTGTGGTTGGAAAGATGCTCATCACAAAAGATTTAAAAAACCAAGACAAAATAGAATGCACAATTGAAAAGCTGTTTTTTTGGTTTGGTTTTTTTTTTATTAAAGGATGGAGCAAGCAGTGAGAAAATAAACAAACCGAGAGAACGGAGAGAAAATAAACAAAAAAACTCAGTTCTCAACCCAAGTAGCAGAGTAGTATAACCAATGCCAAAATTTCTCTTTTTGCAAATTCCTAAATTACCAAACAGAAATGCAACATAATGCTATTTGCTTGCTGAAAAAGTGAGTTATGACTTTTATGCTGTCAGATAACACATAGTTTCCAAAGAAAAATCTTTTCCAAGATTATCTTGAAGCATCACCCTAGCAGACTTCTTCATCACAAATTTTGTTTGTTCATCAGTATTTGTACGTGAACCTATTCACTCAAGTTGACATCCTCTTCCTATAACGTTCACTATATCTGCAGATCTGTAGCCACCTGCTTAGGAGCTCAAGCCTACATCAGTAATTCTAAAACAAGACTCAGACTCTGAAAAATTCCAAATTTCCACAAACTTCTCATTAACTAATTATGTAATTGAACCAGTATCAATCATCTTGGACACCAAAAAACCTAGCTGTGGAGCAATCTGAAATTGGTTAGTCTGCCAGTAATAAAGTAGGCTGTTAATTTTAACCAAATGGAAATATCCAGAGCCCATAAAAGGGCTGTGTCTGACCCTGAGTACACCCACTCCCTCCCAGGTCCCACTTCACACCTGATCCCTCTCCAAGCTATGTCACAGACATGCCTATGCCTCACACTTCCAGTAAGCCTGAGCCTGAGCCAAAAAGCATCTTCCAAACAAGTGGTTAAACCTTCAGTAGTGCATGGATAGGCATGCGGGACTCTGACAGGTTGATATTTATGTCACAAGTAAGCTACAGCAGCTTAGGTTTGGAGCCACAAATCTTGGTAGATAAACCAAAATAAACCAGGAGATAAACCAAATAAAACACAAACAGTAGGAGGAACAGAAAATTCACCCAACATTTAATAGGAAATAATACCTAAAGAATAAGTCAACACTTGAATATTCATTTCGGGAAAAAAAATCTGGTCCAGCTGTAAAATATTCTTACTAATTCTGCAGTATAAGTTACCTGGTGCCTCAGCAGCTGTTGCCAGTTCAGCAAATGCATAAACAAAAACTGACATAAGTAAACCAAATCTGAGATACTGAAAATTAATTTTAGAGCCCAAAAAAACTAAAAATAAAATCGCCAGAGAGAGTTCTCATTTATTATACAAACATTTTAAGAAGTACTGCAAAATGCCATGAGATGTTTATTACCACATGCAATTTTGATTATTTTAGAAGTTAGCAACATAAACAGTGTACTCGAATTCAGAATATGCTGACAGACTGCTGAGTCAGTTTGGGCACTAGGAGCAAATTAGATGCTTTCACTGGATTTCTGCAGGGATCAGTTCAAGACCTATTGTTATTCAGTATCTGCATCAACACTGGAGATGTAAATTGCTTTTAAAAGTTTGGCAATAATATCTGTGGTTGGCAGGAACTGAGAGCATGGGAATCAGGAATAGGGCAGTCAGAAGGAGCATGATCTGTCTCACCCTATTTAAAAAAGTAGGAAAAGACACTTCTTGTATCAGCTAGGAAGATTCATGTAGAAAAGATTTTCTTTTAATAACCTTCCAAGAGACTCTGAGATAGACAAACAGATAGGAACATCTTTCTGGAAGTACCTAGATTTAGCATGTAATTTATGAGATGTCTAACAGCTGAGCAGACATCCTGAGGCAGAATGTGCAGATGATTATGATTTCATACATGATTATGAAAGAAGATTCGTAGGCAGCCAGAATGACCAAGAGGACAGAAAAGTTCTCGGAATGGAGAAAGTGAGAAGCCACTGGGATGGATTACTTGAGGAAAAAGACATACAAGAAGATCTATAATAAAATATGCAAAAATGCATCAGAAATAGCACATCTGACCCCTAACAACAAAGGGTTCTTCAGGTAAAGCTAATTTCAAAATTAAGAATCTTAGAGTCATAGAATCAGATGGGTTGGAAAGGACCTCTGAGACGTCAAGTCCAACCCCTGATCTACTACTACCACAGTTACTAGACTGTGGCACTAAGTGCCACATCCAGTCTCTTCTTAAACACCTCCAGGGACGGTGAATCCACCACCTCTCTGGGCAGCCCATTCCAATGCCTGATTACCCTCTCTGTAAAGAATTACTTCCTATTATCCAACCTAAACCTCCCCTGGCAGAGTTTGAGACTATGCCCTCTTGTCTTACTGATAGCTGCCTGGGAAAAGAAACTAACTTCCACCTGGCTACAATCTCCCTTCAGGTAGTTGTAGAGAGTGATGAGGTCTCCCTGAGCCTCCTCTTCTCCAGGCTAAACAACCCCAGCTCCCTCAGCCTCTCCTCACAGGACTTGTGTTCAAGTCCCTTCACCAGCCTGAAGACACTTTCTCTGCACAGGAAATGTTACACATGGAACTCATTGCCACTAGAACATGCTGATGCCGAAGTCCGCACAAAATCCTGACATATCAGGATTCAAAAGAATACATTCATAGAGGCATTCCTCTTTCTGCTGGTGATCCTGCTGCTAAACCTCCACTAAGGACTTGAAATGACATGTCCTACTGAATTCTCTCCAGAAATACAATGAGTATGAGTGATGGCAGAAAGGTCGCAAAACTGCCAGACTTCAGAGACAGTGCTTGCTTTGTAAACTGATGATACTGGCTTAGAAAAACATCAAGAAAGGCTGCATGTCTCCAAGAATTGTGCCAAAGGAGTGTAATTTTAAACCTGTTGCTGTTGCTTTGTATCCTGCAGTTTTGTTGCAACAGCAAGACCTCAGTGAGCATTGCAAGGAAGACTCCAGGTGCACATCAAGATCTTGCTACAGCTTTGTGTGGGACAATAGCTCCTTCTCTCTCCTAGACCACTCAAATGAAGTCCTCAATGCGTAGTTCCTTGACAAGTGTGGATATCCTCTTCCTTACCCTAGGTCCAGTTCAAAGTCCCAAGCACTGGAACTACAATGCTGCCTTTTTCCTGACATCACAGTACCACAAAGTAGTAGCTAGACTTTCTCTTCATGCTGCCCTATTGCTTGCAGCTTGAAATCCTACTACCAAGAGTAACACAGAGTGGGCTGTGAGTCTTCAGATATCTTCTGAATATCTTCAGATATCAAGCTGAAGGTTGTCATGTCTTGGAGAAAGACAACCCAGGATAGATTATTAAAACAAATAAACAAACAAACAAACAAACAAACCAAACCCAAAAATACACCTGCTGTATTCAAAAGAATTAATTACCATTTTCATATTCCTGACAATGGTGTAAGGGCAAGTAAGTTTCCATAGTAATTGGTAAAACAACTGTCACCTAAGTAATTTAAAAACGAACAAAACACTTTAAAT